GATATGAAAAGTTTTCTTAAATAGTCCTGCTCATTTCTCCAGAAGTTTGCTGTAAGCCATTCTCTTTGAATCAGAAGCTCACAATAGCATTGCATCTTCTGTAAAAGTGACACTTCAAACAAAGCCTGAAGCCTGAAGCTTCAAAGCACTATCAAAGCACTGTTAAATGGTGAACATGTAATATCTTCATAGATGGCTATCTTCTATAATTACCCTGAGTGAATTAAAGAACTGGCGCTGTTCCTCTTAGGTGAATAGATTGTTTGAATAACTGTATCATCTGAAGAGTTTAGTTAAAATCTAACTCAAAAAGACTTTTAAAAAAAGCATTAGTCTGAAATGTGGATATGTAGAACTGAAAAAGTCATTTCCAAGCCTCTCAGACTAAGCCAAATCCAGAAAACCAACAATGTTAGTAGGTTTATGAACATAACTTCAATTTAGTACAATTACAAGCAATATTAGGTCTCAAAATAAATACTTTAGGATCCCATCCCTTTTATCATTTTCTTCCCACCTGTAGTTTTAGCTGACTGCATGTTAAGTTTCTTGCTTGGGATTTCAGAAAAGAAAAGACTAATATTTGAGTTGTAACACTTATTAAAAGCAAATATTATAAATAAATACTGTTACCTCCTGATGGTGTGCTGCACTTGAAGGCAAGCTTCCTTTTCAGGTACTTAAATATTTTTGAAAAACTGCAATTTTGTTCAGTTAATAGGAGTTCAAATCATTTTGCTGGAAGTCTTGTGCAGGGTCATAAGGAAGCAGGAGTTTTCTTGCAGTTGTTAAACTATGTCTTGCTCTTCTGTGAACAAAATTCAACTGCTATGCAAGTCTGTCCCTCACTGGCATACCAACTGCTTCAGTGGAATTAGTTCCCCTGGGAGCCTTTATCAGATTTGTTCACTTTGTTCCTGAACATAAAGTTCAGTTCAAAAACAGAGGCAGAGGAGGAGATTTTCTTCTTTGGTTTCTGCAGTGACTAGGGAAAGTTCTGTGGCCACAGGCATGAGAAGTTCTCTGGGCTCTTCCAAATGAAACACTGATTGCAGTGTCGCCTGTGATTTTGAAAGGAGTGGATCTTCCAGGCACCGTTATTGTTCTACCCAGGCTTATTAGTTTCCAATGAGATCCAAGATGTACTTATTTCTCCCAGAGTTAAAGTACAATTTTGACTTCCAAACACTTGTAATTTAATGCTGGTCAGATCAAGGAAAATCATATAACTAGAGTAACCTCTGTACAAGACAATGAAGGCTTCACAACTCATGGCTTTAAGAATCTGTTTGAAGAGCAACAGAGGGAAGTATATGGAGATATTAACATGTGAAACTGAAAAGCTTATTTGCTTGGAAACTGCTCCACTGATAAACTGCAGGCCAAATTTACAGCCAATCAAGAAATAACATATGGAGATGTAGCTCTATGCTGACATGCAGTAAATTGCTGACATACTTAAAAAGGAAAATCTACCTAAGAAGTTTTTTAATTCAAGAATATTTTATGTTGTTTCTGATTCTGCCTCCCCAGAATTAAAATCTTTTCAGAATGCTCGATATCAACAGAATTAGAGCAAACTGAAATTCTTACAAGTGTCTTCTGATCTTTACATACTTTTTGGCTGTTGATTTTTTTTTTTTTTTAATTTTATACTATTTTATATAAATTTAGGCTCAGCTTGAGATTCTTCTGCAGATTTCAGCTGTACAGAAAATGCATAGGATCTGCATTTCCTACAAATTCATATGGAATGTTCTATTGTCTTGGACATATTACAAAAGAGGAACAAAAGTAGTTTTCCTACAGTTTACCTGTTCTCTCTGTGCTTTGTCTTAGATCCAGTTATGTAACAGTTTTCTTCTCATTTTTCTGGCTATCTGCATATTAGACAATCTAACAGTAACAGCCATCCTGTATCTGCAGCCAGTTTGAAGACAAAACCTGAAGCCATAAGATTTAGTGTTGCTCAGGTTATACCAGGTAGGCTACAAAGAAAAGGCTGTTAGTTTCTGTTGACAGTATGTGGAAACATTTCTAACAATACTTGGATCTGAGATCCAATATCAATACCTGCTGAAATACTTCCAGCTCAAAACGAGGTCTGTGGGATAATACCTGCCAAATATTTGCTGACTCCTTATTTTAACAAGATGGATAGAAAAAAAAAATAATTGTACTGGGCAGTAATCTACATGCAGGTGTTCCAGTAGGTAACAATCTATTTTTTTCATAGCTCTGGTGTTTCTGAAATGCAAGGCTATTACTACTCCATCTTTTAGATTAAGAGCGACTGTGTGGGGCAGAAAGAACAGTGAAAGACATTTTTCTGGCAGGATGTCTTGAGAGCTCATCTACTTTCCAACCCAGGTAGCTGCTCCATATTCTGCAGATTAAAAGTCGCTCCAGGCTTGGAGATGGGGCTGGAGGTGGAAAAGGGTGCAGATGGCAAAGGGCAGATAGTTGCTCAGTTACTGGAGGCCAGTTTGTTCAGCCCTTGATGTACAGCCAAGAGGAATGGGATGAAAGATGTTTGTAGAAGTGATTTTGTATCTTAAGTCTTTTCTTAAATGTTAGGATTTTATATAAAAAAGAGAGAATTTTGTGTCCAACACAGACTGTATGAGGGCTGCATGAAAGGTCTTCAGACCACAGCTGCTGCTACCTGCTATGCCTTGAGATGGGGAGAGACAGGGTGACTGGGAATCTGTAAGGCAGGCTGGAGGGCTAGAATGAGGCTGGATACAGCTTCTTGTTCAAATTCCTTGCTTCTAGCCTTTCTCACAACTATACAGGATTAGGCAGTGAAGAGAAACCCAGGTCTTTGTTGCAAAGCAAAGTGTCAGTAGCATGGGAATGAAAGCTGGACAGAAAGGGCTCTGGCTTCTGATGTCCATGGCCTACATTTTATCCTTCTCTCTCCTCTGAGCCTGGGGATGCTGCAAGAAAGGCTGATCCCAGCTGGGTCCTGAGACTTGTGTAGGTGAGGGTCCAAGTTATCCTCTTTCCTGCAGACAGAGCCACCCTATCTCCATTCTGGTGTGGTAGAAAAACCAGTATGTGTTGGCTGGCACCATACAGAGCCTGCTAAAACTGTAAGCCTGTCCTCCCCAATCCATGCTCTCACATTTGTCTTATTCTTAGCTACCACAGACTCCACAAAATGAGTGGTCCTTCTTGAAAGACTTCATTCAGGATTTCAATAAAATATTTTACAATTGGATTGTGATAGGAATCATTTTGGAATGTTCCTTCCTCTTTACAGTGATAAACGTATAGTGTTTTCTTTAATGATTACTTCTCCATGTTTAGAAGTTATATATATATTTATTGCACATATTTTACTAAAATTTACATTTGAAGACCACAGTCTGAACATGGAGGCTTTGTTTATATATAGTTAGAGTGGACGTAGGACATGCAGTGACTTCTAACATGATGGAGGGTACTTAGCTCTCTTATCTATTTCTTTAGTAGGGAAGAGGATGGAAAATAAAGTTTTGAAGGAACTGCATTTTATATATATTTCATGTGTTGAAAACATAATGTAAGGTCTGTCTATATCATGACTTTCTTTCCAAAACATTTTATCATTTTGACATTCACCAACTCACTTTTTCTCATTTATTTTCTTTGTTTAGTTCTGTAGAAACTTTCAGATTTATTGCTTCCTTTCTTACATCTTTATCTGTAACCCTAAATTCTTCTGAATACTTATACTTTTGTCCATATCCCATATATCTTAAAATATGTGTCTTTCTTATTGTGTTTTGATAGACACAATAGAAAAGATCTCTATTTGTGCATGAATAGATTTTCTCTTTTCCTCTCCTCTTGTTCTAGCCATGCTTTGGCTCCCCCAGTTTCATGTCTGTGTTTTACTAAATCTTTTGTCTCTGGCACAGCTGAATAATGTGTGGAATTACTGTGAGGTTAATTCACCGTATGCTCCAGACTGCTTCAGGATATTTTGAGGTGAAAACTATTCTGCCTTACAATTTTCTAAGTGTTATATTATTTTGACAGGGATAATTCAAAAATTTCTCACTAGGAATTTGTAAATTGCAATCTGTTTTGTAGGATTTTTCCAAACTGGCTAGCTGATCCCTTATCCAGATGACTGAATTCCTTGGAGATCTTTCAATTTGCTGTCCGGTATTTTATTTTTTTAATTTCTTGTTGTGTCATGGTTAGAAAATTAATGCTATATCAGAGTTCTTTTACTTTCTCTGAAGCCTATTCTTTTATTAAAATAAACTGGCCTACAGAATTTTAATGAGGAGCTCACAAGTCAACAATTCCCTTTGCTGACCCAGACCTGGCTTTGGGGTTTTAAAATTGAAAGCCTATAATCTGTGCTGCCACAACATCTCTATGTTGGGAAAAACTCTTGAGTAACTGAAAATAGCTTTTAAACCAAAATAAGTTTGCTTGGACTCATGCTCCAAAAGTTATTTTTGACACTTGAAAATTACTAATGGCAAGACTTTAAGGAGACCCAATGTTGAAGAACAAAGTAACGAGTGAGCGTTGCCAGCAAAGTACAAACACGTGTTCATATTTTCTGCTTTATTACAGACTTCTATATAGGTGTGAAGTTTTAAAATAATTATTCATTTATTTGTGATTTAAACAACATAATTTTAAAGTAGTATACATTTTAAATTGAAATTACTGCATTAACTCATCTCATGGGGAACAAAAGGCTTGCTGCAGAAGATTTACACGTAAGTTTTTCTGAAATGATAAAAGATAGTGGTGCAGTTATTTTTAGACTATTGCATGAAAATTATCAGCAGAATTCACTTAATCAGTAATATTTCTGGAGGTTCGGTTGAAAAGACTTGTCTGGATACTTTGCTCATGCATATGCTTTTACAGCCCTCTGAAAATCATTGGCAGTGACCTGCAAGTGTAGTATTATTTTGCATTAGTATTTTTAACTCTGCAAACTGATGTTGCATTGGGTGTGCTTCTGTAATATTCACCTTCCTTTATTTCTACCAGTTCCAGTTATGCCTGGCACAGCAGAACATCTTCTTAAACGTACTCCGTAATTCTGGACTTCGGAATGCAAAAATCATAGGATCAATGATTGCATTGCACATTATGAGGGTCCCATTCACGTGGAAAATGGACATGTAGCAGGCACAGTAAGGGTTGTGTGGGCAAAACCTTGCTAAAAGGATGTGAAGAACAAAGGGGGCCCAACAGCAAAGGAAGACTCCAAGGAAAATAGTCAGTGTAATGGCTCCTTTCATGTTAGTTCTCTGATGGACTGCACTGGTTGGCAGCGAGGCAATCTTTTTAGCATGAGATCGAGCTAGGAGGAACATATGGATATAGAGGCACAGTATAAAAAACATCATTAAAGGAAACAGGATGGTGAAGGGAATGACTGTAGCTATTTCATGGGAGAAGAGTGCAATGGCAATGCTACTGCCAGCACAGAATGTCCAAATGATTGCCAAGATGACCAAAGCCCTTTGTACTGTCATTATATTATGGTACCGCAAAGCATAGAAGATAGTGATGTATCTGTCCGCTGCAATAGCTAGCAAGCTGAAAATGGACCCCAGTAAAGACAGAATGAACATGGAATCCATGGCATCATCCAGCTTTTTCTCAAAGTCCCCACGACGTGTCAGGTACCCCATTTTGCACAAGATAATAAAGATGTTCTCCAAAGTTTTGTACAAGCTGCCTAACATGTCTGAAATGGCTAAGCTACAAATGAAGAAGTACATGGGCAAGTGCAAATTCTTATTTCTGATGACAGCGACAAGGACAAGTAGATTTTCTAGTATGCCAGCAGCAGCAACAGTGAAAAAGACTTCCTCTGGCACCACGACCTGGTTGCAGTCAGTGATATTTAAGGAAAAATCTGTTTTATTTTCGAGAGATGGAATACTTGTCTGCCCTGCATGTTTGATTAGGTTGGAAGGTATCTCAGTGCTCATTGCTTCTGCTCTTGGAACGCCTCTGTTTTGCTGTTTCTCAGGCTTGGCTTTACTCTGAAGCTGACCTGTCATTCAGACCATCCTTTTGCTGAAGGCTTTCTCCTTCATCTGGAACAATTTGAAGTCTTAACTGAAATGTTTTGAATTTCTCCTGCAATAGAACATATAGAAAAATAAATATCAAGAAGAAAATTGCTGCATGCCAAAAAAAGCAAACATTTGAAATATCACCTTTTGCAATTGAATGAATATATATCACTGAAGTGAAGCTAAGTTGCTTTGGATAAAATAAGAGCTGCTCCAAGCTCCACGGTGCCTTAGAGGAAAATAAGGTATAAATTCTCTGTTAGCTTCAGGGAAGTTTAAAAAAAATATATAGTTTTCTTTACCAACGAACATCCCATGTTTATTGAAACTGATTTCACAGACTTCAAGAAATTTGGCAGTCTCTACTGGCCCAGCTGTTTGCTTTGGGAAAGTCTGGCATTTCTCACAAGATTTATAGTGTTATTAGACATGGATGAAACTAATGCCAAGATAAGCCGTTGTCCAGAGCAGTAGCATATTTACCACCACATTGTTGATGTTGAAATAAAAAAATGCTCTTAATTTAGATGTGAACATTGTAAATATTGAATTTTTCAGAGTTATGTTAGATACTAGTGCCAAACTGCCTTTTCAGGCAAATTGAAACATCCCCTTGATTTGAACATATTTTTAAGATCCAAAGCAAAATCTTTTTTTGGCTGTATTTTACAACTATTTAAAAGATCAAATATTTTGTTTCTGCACTGAAATTATTATTTTTTTCTTTATCTGTAATTATCCTGGTCTAAATTACATGAAAGCCTATAGGAATCTTTCCAAAGGATTAGGCTTTTTAAGCTATTCATTAAGGTGTAAATGCATGTGATATTAATTTGGCTCAGATATTACCCATAGAGAATAAGGCACACTTTTTCTTGTAATTTTAATAGCTCCATTTGTGAAGTACAAATGCAGTTGCTATTTGGAATGTTCCCTTTTTTAAGAACTGAAATATTCTCCTGTTTTTAAGTTCAAAACAGCCTTTAGTTCTTTGGCACTTTCATACCGATATGTCTTGAAATGCATTTGGGCATTTGTTGCTAGTCAGGTTTGCTAAATGCAATGATGCTTTTTAGTACTGTTTCAAAAGAAGAATTCAGAAGTTTTAATTACTTTTTATACAAATCCTCCTTAAGTGGCAGCCTGTAAATGGTATAGCTGAACCTCTGCTTGAATGTGATCAGCTCTAATGCATTTTGAGCATTCAGCTCAAATGTGTTCGGCCACATATCGAGGGATAACAGGTTTCTGATCTGGGTTTGCTATTATCATCTGCTGAGATTGCCAGTAAGGTACTGCCTGTGGTGAAATATGCTGAAAACTGGACCAACCAGAGAACATGAACTCAATTGAAAGAAGCTATCAGCTCCCTTGAATGCTTTCTTTCAAGACAGCTCACATACTTATCAGGGGAAAAAAAAAAGGCTCTGTAATGGAATGAAAGAACTGAATTGCTCTGCAGCACATCTGGACAGTTAGGTCAACATCTGTTAGCATACGCAAGAGATGCACCAATGTCTTTGTAGAGGTATGCTTTTTCTATTCTCACTTAGAGAATGTCCTTGTTAAGTTTATGATTTCTCATCTAGTGATCTGTTTTGTAACCTAATTTTCATTCTTAATAGAAAGTCAACACGGACACTCCAAACAAAGCCTCGTTCAAATGGGATTTAAACATGATAATGAGTTGGAAAAAAAAGCCTTTGTTACATCCCTGTTCTTTCACAACTCTTTTCCAATACTGCTGCTTTGCTGGTACACTCATACTGCTGAACTTATTCCCTTGATAAACATGATGGCTCTTTCGCTGAAAGCAGCATTATGAATGGCATAACATATTACATTTACTGCTTTTACAGAATATAAATGTTCTAAAATTTATAATAACTCTGTGTTGAGTGTAGCAATTGATTAGGGCTGAAATCTTGTAAAGGATTCTTAGCAGTTATAGAAATGAATGGTTACGTTATATCACTTAATGTTGTTTTCAGACAATTAACAGCCAAAGAAAGACATTCTTATTTCAGAGGTTCTCACTTCAATATGTATACATGGCTACTGAAGACTTTATTATTAGGATTCCATGAAAGATGTTCCCAATTATTCCTGTTCTGATGCTTCAGTGCAGTCACAACTTTTTTGTCTGAGACTTCCCAGACAGAAGTTTCTATATGCATATCCTGTTGTACACAGGTTGTAAATCCAGTGCTTGACCTGCACAATGCATATTTTGTTCATACCTCTGCCGTAATCACACATTTACAGGATTCTTTCGCAGCTACAGAATGATGAGAGTGTGCACGAAATAGTTCAATGCTTATGAGCAGCACAGGATAGACAGGCTACATACGGAGTGTAAAGCTCCTGTGAACATGATCAGTAACCTCAGTGTGTCCTTAAAGTTAGTAGTTTCCACAAAAGGAAGACACAAGAGTACCTTGGTACTCGGAGTCATATTTCTACCTACTACCTACTGAAATTAAAGCCAAGGCCATTTTGCACAAAGATATAAATGGCCATCAGCTGAAAAAAATTTACCCTCTTGTGTTGGTTGCACTACCAGACACAGCCTGGATGCAACACTTCCTCTCCACTGTCAATACCATTTCCATCTGTTTCATCATTATACTGTCCAGATAAAAGATCAATATAATTAAACAGCACCAGTCTCCAGTTAATCTCAGATTTATCTTTTGCACGTGGCTGCAAAAAACAACCTTTAACAACTAGTGCTCATGTCTCAGGATTGTTAAAAACAGGACACAACAATCTATTCTCCCCCCCATTCCCCATCAGTGGCTGAGCTACTTGGCTTTTCTCTTTCTTGAAGTTATGCAGTCTAATAAAAACTTTGCCTATAGCAGAAAGCATTGAAGAGATATAAACAATGAACAACAACAACAAAAAAACATAACCAAAAAACTTTGTTTGAAACACATTTTTAAATTTAATGGTAAGTATCGCAAATCCAACAAAAAACCTCAGGCTTTTTCTTCACACGTTTAAATTAGGTCCTGGAGGGAGAAGTCAACAACTCATTCAGTCTGGATATTCTGAAACATTATTTATATAAAAAGAAGCAGTCTCCTGATCTGGCATAATGGGAAATGAGCTGGCAACAATAGTGAAGTTGCTAAAATGCATACATTTGTAATATTATCAGCAATTTCCATTCAGTCTGTAGTTTTTTAAAGCAAGACAAAGCAGGGACGACAGCAAGCCAGGACTGGGAAGTATACAGACAATGGTGTAGAAACATAGGAAACAAATGTAATTTGGATTAGCTGTCAGTTATATTCATTCACTGTGATTATGGTTTGTTTCTTTACAACACTCTGACACTGACAAAATATGTTGGCACCATGCATATTGCACAGCTAAGATGCAACACCAGTATTTCTGTCTGCAGCCATGTTGAGAAAGTCCCAGTGGATGTTGAGGGGTCTCTACACTGAGCAGGATTAGCCTTGGACAAAATGCATAATTCTTTCCTGCATGCCCAGTGCATATTGATAACAAAAAAAAAAAAAAAACCAAATCAATTTTCTATGCATTAGAAGTTCAGTAACTTAGTACCTGCAAGGTCTGGGAGTAGTCAGGTCTGCACTTGATACATATTTTTTTAATTGGATAAGCAGTTACTAAATAAATAAAGCCCTTCCTTCGGTTTCAAAACATTAAATCAATTGGTGTGGTTAGCAGTAATAGCAACAAGATTGTCCTCGTACACCTTGGTCAGACTGGAACATAATCCCTTGTGGAGGTGGTTGGACAAAGAGCATGACTGATGATGCTGCCTGATGCAGCCGAGAATGACTTTCTTCTAAAAAAATGACAGCACAGGTCACATGCATGTACAGGAATGAGAGCTTTATACATTCCAGTGACTCCCATTCAAGTGATCATGATTTTGTACCCAAATCCATTTTAAAAAAAACCAAACATTTTTTTCTTTTTTTCCAGCTCTTCCAGATGTACAAGGCATTTATGAAGGAAACATGCCACTTAAAAACATTGAGACTTAGTTTATAAAGTTGTAAAACAAATAAAAGGACAATTTTTCCTCCCCTTCATTAGGTCAGCACTGGCTTCCATGGTAATGAAAAGGACTAGACCTGTTATCAGAGAAGGTGATCTATGAGGACAAGATGTTCCATGCATTTTCTGGTGGGCACTTCTTTTTGCCTACCATGTGGGCTTAACTCAAGCAAGAAGTGAAAAAGAGCACATAAATCCCCAATCTGTCTTTAGTTTTAACTACATAGTTCTTAAAAATGTTGTCACTGTACCAGATGAATTTACACAGTATACCTGCTCCCCTGAGTGCCTGGTCTCAGAGATGTGGTTCCTTGGCTAAAAGCCACCTGTCTCTCCTAGATGTGACATTAAACAAGAAGCTTTGTAGGTGGGTACATAGTCTTACTATTAATATTAGATAGATATTATTGTTTTCTGTGTAGAAGAGAGCTGCCTGGTACTCTTAAGAGTGGTTATGGTCTCACAGCAAGACCTGAGCTGCTGTAGCAGCTTGCTGTGCTAAGAGGCCAAGTTCCACCTCTCCCTTCCCACCTCCTCTTCTCCTTCCTCTCATTTCTGTCACATCCTCTGAGCCTGTAGAAGCCCATTTTTCTCCCCTAAATAACAACAGTACACACTTGATGCTTGTGCAAGGGCATTACCATGTCTGGCAGGCGGTGCAATAGGAGCATGGAACTCAGGAGCAGTTTATACAGGACACCTAACCCACTGTGAACTCTTCACTGCAATAACAAGTACCAACACAGTCCTGTTTCCACCCAGCTCAGGCATCCCTAAGAACATAGTGGTCTCTGTACAAACTGCAGCATGAATAATTCCTTAGTTTTGAAGCTAGGATGCCAATGTTCCTTCTCTGCTAGAGCCTGATAAGCCAGAGTCTTCCTCTCAGGAAACTATTAAATGCCCTAAGGGCCCTTCCTTTGGAAATTCTATGGAAAGCCTTGGTATTTCCCATCAGTAACTGCGAGGGTAAGAAAGTGTGCATTTGATAACTTTATTTTTACACAAATCTAAAAAAAAATATGCATTTTAACAGGCACATTTTTTGTTTTAACTTTTTTCAGAAAACACTGAATAAAACAGCAGTTATGACTGTGAAAGGATTGTATCCTACTCTGAATGTGATCAGTCTCAGTTGCTTACACACTGATGAAAGTCCTGCAGATAAATGAGTTTCCTCTGCTTACTGCTGCAGGCTTGTACCAAAACAAAGTCCTGAGTATTTAGAAAACGGTAAGACAGATGGACTGTGTGTTTATTGTTTCATTTTTTCAGCTGCTGAAATTTCAATCTTCGCATCAAAGCAGATGTCTCATATGAAAATATTTCATGCAGAATTCGCTCATTGAAATACTGTTATAAGCACAGTCCTTTCCCTTATCAGGTTTTCATTATTCTTTAAAATCATGTTTCAGGTAAAACAATATCAAACAAAGGCATGAGAAAACAATGCTGAAAAATTAGGATAATACCATACCTGCTGTTTCATTTCATCAGTTGAAGTTTTATGAACAAACTGAATTAGTAACTACAGTCTACAGTCTATTAGTCATTTATTCTTTTGCTTTGATCTCCCTCTAGTGTTCAACAAAGCAGAGTTAGCCAGATATTAATGGCTAATTACAGCTCTTCCAATTTTTCCACACGTGCCCAGGATGCTATACAACATTATGTAACCTAACTGCAATTTCATGGACTAGCATCAATCCTAAATATAGCAAACATATATAAAGATGTTTGCTGCTCTAAGTCTTGGAGATTTCTGCATCAGAATAAGGAATATGTCCCATACGATTTTCATGTCTAGTACTTTCACAGAAGTTTTACACTGCTAGACATAAAAGGCAGCTATGATACAATAAAAGGAAAATGTACACTCATGCAAACTAAATACAGAAAAAATATTATTGAACCTAAAGCCACACATACACCAACTAATTACTAGCAAAATGTTTCTTACACAGTAGTTACTCTGACTTCATTATAAGCAACACTTCTAGAGTGAAATCAGGTTGGAAATCACTCTTGCTGACATTTTAAGTGTCAAATATACATGCATACATTGAACAGAATTCTATTTATATTTTCCTGACTTTAGATATGGTATAGAAGAACTTTCATACTGGATCAGAAACTGGACAGTCTGAAGGTTTTATAAAGTACAGGAGATGAAGAAAATGTAGAAGAAATATTTCTTACTGCCACATCATTTCCCCATAAAATCACCTTCAAAAGAATATTCTAGATGTTTTTTAGGAATAAGGAGAAATGTCACTTCAAGAAACCTGGATATACTCATTCATATTTAAGCTTAGGTATATACAGCATGCCATGATTTTGTTTCCAGCAACAAAAAACACAAGAAAACATTCAGGCTACACAGAAACTGTATTAGCCAGGGCTACTCATCTTCATACAATGCTAAAACAGCTTCAGTTCAAAACATTGTGCAAACCCTGGGTACTTCAAAGACGATGAAAGCCAGAAAAGTGAAAATGATGAAGAAAAGATGGACTGAGTTCTCAACATTTTTAAAATCTTGGCAATATCAGAGAGGAAAAAGATGTGTTTTTATGTTTCCCACCACTGAAGACAACATGCTACGCCCTTGGGATGGGATCATTTACGAGTTATTTAAGACGTAGCTGTAAGAGAAGGGAATTAAATTCAGTGAAGATTTTCCCCACCTTTGCAGCTGGACAATAGATGTGATCATGACAGTTTCTTTTTTTTTGGAAATGCATGGAGGCTCACACTCCATCATGCTGCTGTTCCCTTTTTAAAGTTGTAAAGAGAAGTGACAAGTCCTTTGTAGTTTGTTACTGTCTTGGTAACAAGACAATGACAATGATTTTTGGAAGCATTGGTTACTGTGCTTCAGACATTACAGACTGCTTATACTACACTATTCTTTCATACTTACCTCCAGCATGAATTAATTTTAAGCATAAGTATCCACAAGGAATAAAAAATAGTGAATTTGAATAGTGGACAAACAGTTCTGTGGGATCACTGTAAGAATCAATCAAGAGGCCTTCAAATGACATCTCTGAGGCCAATGCTCTATTCTTATTCTTTCCAGTAAATCATCAAGTTTGCCAGTAATAGTGCCATCACAGATGTTATCAACAAGCACCAAGGAAATCTCCTGTACAGAGATACACTAACCATTTCTTGCTGTGTTTCTGCTCTAAGAACTGCCCTTGGTGTTTTTTTTGATTGTTTGTTTGTTTTTTTAAAGAGCCATCCATCTTTTTCTACAGCCGCGAATGCTCTAGTAGCTGCAATTAAAGCAATAGTTAAAATAGGTGGAACTACTAGGAATTTTTTTCTAATTTTAAATGACAGAAACCAAGGATGTAGATCTTGTGTGCTTTAACAGCCATGAATGCACTATATCTTGTAAATCCATGTGTGTCTTATTGAAAGAAAATATATGGAAGACAAGCTTATTTCCTGGGAGCTAATTAAAAATACCAGTGTGCTATTTATCTTGCCACTGAGATACTTACATTAAAAAGTAAAAATAGTGAAAAGAGCGATTAGAAATAAATTCGATAAATGTTCACTTTCTCTGGATGGGGGCAGGGTGAAAAAGACACCTCTTGAAGATGCTGATTTTCAGAACTGCCTTCATGACCAAGGATCTGGGAGGGAGAAGTAACAGACAGGAAAACAAATATGAGAAGAATCAATCCCAAATTCTGCAAGCCCATAGAAATTTGATTGCTTTGGAGTAGAGGCCACAAAACTTCAGTCTGCGTACTGTCAT